TTCTGAGAAAAAACACATTCATCACAAAAACTTGAAATGGTCTAACAGCGTTCACTCATTAAACATCCAATGTTTGTCCGTAAATTCCAACCGAGAAAACGTAAACCACAGTCTATCCCTTAGTCGAAATTATAAATGCAGAAACGCCAGCGTCGTTAAAAAGTCATCAGTAAAATCAATCCACAACACCTCTTACTTTTCCTATATAAAAACATCACTATGTAAATCTATATATCTATATGACTTTGTTTGTTACTTATGTCGAAAAAGTCGGGTTCTCTAAATATTTAATGCTAGATGCGGCTTTACTGTGCATGCAAAAAGTCGAAAGTAGTTTACAGTGATCGTGAGAGGTATATGCAGTTTGATTAGGTTTAGCCATCTGATGACACCTGGTCATTAAGAAGATGCTCATAGCACGAATTCCGTGTAAATCTTAGATTAAAATGAGATCTGATCAGACAAGGTCTGACAATCTGTTCAGATATGAATCTTATACAACGACTTGATGCGGGAAATCGGGGACCACGATTTTGCGTATGATTTTTCGTATGATCATATAAGAATCTATGATTCATCTTATTGTCTGATTGTTTGACCTGGGTACTTCAACTAAATCTATACCAAGACAGCTTTCAGCTGGAGCTTGTCTTTTGTTTACTAGACGTTATAAGAGGAAATCCACCCTGATTCTCATCTATAGGGTCATACGACAAAAACATCTAAGATATTCAATGCCTGATTCATGCATCATAGACACATACCTAATTTCTCAGCCGTACATTGCGTGATACCCGATTGGTCAGTTTTGTAATCTACGATAGCTACCAATCAGTCTCAGCTATCTTCCCACGTTATTCGTAAAGTTTCTGTTAATATTGATCTTGAATCATGATGCAAGCACACATCTTTCAAACGATCTTTTCTCATACGATTCTCCCTTCGCACGAAAGAACATCTAATTAGTCCTCGTACCACTCCTCAATACACTATTGATATAGGCAAATTAGACATTCAGTAAATTTCGAGCTAAGGCAGTACGGCATATCTGTCGGATATACAAGCGTTGTTCGGTCAATGGTTCAACCCATTTCAAACGATTTTTCTTTAAACTTAAAGCATTTCGGAAAAGGGGAGAGTGTTTTTTTACCTTTGACGTCTCCGGCACAGTTCTTCTCATCCCGTCCTTTACTCCACCATCAACATCCAGCCCCAAGACTCCTCCTAAACGATCCTTTATTGAGGTTTGAGCGCTTTCGCAAAAATGTTTTTTTGACCTTTGACCCCTGACACAGACAGACAAACAAACTATTTTTTTTATATCATCCTCCTTTCAATTGACGGAATATCAAATAGTTTAATTGGTAAAATAGCCGACCGGTTATTGGAAGATGTATGTTCGAGTCCTGCTTTGATTTAGTGATCTTCTCGAATAAGTCTTTCGTACTTATTTCAACATGTCTCTGTGGATACATCTACTGAGATGTCTTGTATGTTTTCGTGGACACATGAAACGATTATTTTAATTGGATTCCATTATATCGTCATTTCAAACTCACCCGACACCCTCACCCTCACACCCTCAGTAATCCTATAAAAGTCTCTGAATTTGCGAATCATAAGGACAAATAATCTATCGACTGGCTTTTTGTTTGATCAGAAAATTGTATATTCAACAACTATGTATTATCATGATGTGTAAAAATCAAAACTCTTTTATTAAAGTTTATTTGTTTTGAAGCATATGGATTCTATTAATTATTTTGAAGAAGAAAAAAGTCACTGAACAGAACAAAAGCAAAAATGAAAAATAGAGCTGTTTATATAGTTTTTCTTATTTTCGATTAAGGATTAGCAAGTTCATAAACATCTATGGCAGATAATTCTCGAGAATAGACACGAAATTCATCTAAATAACCAACATAAGGGTCTGAAGTAATCGACATTATATTGCAAGAGGTTGCATTAAGTAGATTACCCAATGTTAAAATAATATTTTGTCCTGGAGCAATATAAGATTTTGAACCTGTTGTGCCATAATTAGTTCCATTTATATAAAGAATTAATCCATTAGTTGGTGAATAAGTCATAGCAATGTGTGTCCAAATATTAACAGATAAAATAGGACCAACTATTTCTGTTCCAGTGTTAGACCAATTAATAGCAATAATTTGTCCAGTAGATCGAAAACCCATAAGAGCAGCACACCATCCTGTTCCATTTGTTTGTGTTGAAAGATAAATAAGAATACCTCCACCTGTTGATGTTCGTTTAACCCAAAGAGACATTGAATATGGATTATTAGGAATACCAAGAAGAACAAATCCAGAAACTTGATAAAAAGATAAATTTGAATTAAAACTTAAAGCTTGATTAACTTTTCCAGCTACCAGAGTAACATTACTATATGTTCTTGTTAATTCAAGTGGACCTGAATCTATCAGTGATATATTATCAAATGACTGCCATGTTGTTAATGTCGCATCAGTAAGAATTTCACTATCAGTTTTTACTCTCATATTTAATTCAACATTATCAATATAACTAAAGAAAAATTAAATATTTCTTTTTTTCATTAAAAATAAATAAATCACACAATCGAAGTCTTACCCATCAAAATATTGAAAGTTACCCTGGGAACGCATGAATGTTCCGATATATATTGAACCACTTGTACCTAAAAATGGTCCAGCTGAAGTACGAAGACAATCTTGATTACCATTTAAATAAACAATTTGTGATCGTGATCGATAATCATACACAAAAGCTACATGATACCAAGTATTTATCGACAATGTAGTTGTACATGGAAGATCATCAGCATAAAATCCCATAAATAAAATATTATTTCTAATTATTAAGTGTAATGAATTATCTGTTGTTAATGAACCATATTGAGAAAATAATCCATAGTCAGTATTATTAATTAATGAAGTTGGATAAATCCACATTTCAACTGTAAAACTAACATTAGCAAAGTTTTTATATGTTGATATTGTTACACATTGACTATTGTTACGAATCAACTTCAAAGCATAACCATTACCAGTAATACCAGATGCAATATAACTAGGCGAATTAATAGTAGTTCCATTTAGATTTAATAAACTATCGAAAGTATTATTATCAAATTTCCATAAACTCGATGAACCATATGTGTAATATGTTGTTCCTAAATAATATTTCTTTTCATTTTTTCGAAAATTCAAATGATGAAACTAACCTTGAGCTAATTCAGTAATATCATCCAATGATAATTCACGAGAAAAGATTTTGAATTCATCAATTTTTCCTTGAAATTGTGAAGGAACAATTTGTGTTGTACTGATAGAACAATTATTTAATGTAATAGAATTACCGAGAATGATTGTATTTAATGAATTATTACTAGCTGAATAACTATAATCACTATTATATCCATTGATAAATAATCCATTTAAAAATAGTTGTAAACCATTTGTATTTGAATAAGTTAATATAATATTTGTCCATTGATTTAATGAAATTGTTCCAGATGTATATGTTATTGAATAAATTCCACTTAGACCTTTTGTTTGAATTGTTAAATGACCGGAAGAATCATAACCAATCATTGGAATACACCATGATGTTGAACTAACCTATTTATAATAGAAATCAAATACAAGAAAAATTCAATAAGATAATTTACTTGAAGAATAGTTCCATTATTATTTAATGGATATATCCATAAGGAAAATGAATAAGAATAATTTATTTGGCCAAGATAATATAATCCATCGATTTGAAAATAAGACAAATTTGTTAAATTATTTAATAATAAACATTGATTAAATCGACCCTGTGAATCAAAACTAGTTGAAATAAATGTTATGTTTATCATTTGATTTGGTCCATTATCATTATATGTATTATCAAATGAAAAATAAGCAACAAGTGTTGCTTCATCAAGAAGTTCACTTGTATTTTTGATACGTGCTGCAAATGTTAATTTGTCAATAAAACCATTTTGAGCTGCATTTACATTAATAAGTGGTACTGCACCAATAGTTGTGTAATTTGCATTACCATGAAATGGAGAATTAGGAACTCGAATTCCATTAAGAATTCCATTTAAATAAACAGATTGTNCTCCAGACAGGTTCACGATTACAAAAACGCAATAAAAACTTCTACAGAACCATTAAAGGATCTTCGCGTGTATCGGAGGGAAGAACCTTCTACTGCTAAACCTTTTTTAAGTTCAGTATACCGAAAACAGGTTCCGTAGCAAAATGCAAAACTTATGGGGTTTCATATCAAACTATACAAGGGCATTAAGGTTCGGTACGAAAGTATTATATTTTCCTAAAGAACTCCGAAAGTTTGGTATTATAATACGGAACCTGTTTTCGGTATGCTGAACTTAAAAAAGGTTTAGCAGTAGAAGGTTCTTCCCTCCGATACACGCGAAGATCCTTTAATGGTTCTGTAGAAGTTTTTATTGCGTTTTTGTAATCGTGAACCTGTCTGGAGACTTTTCCGTAACTACGGAACGTTTTTCGAGGATTCAGTAGAGCACTAATTTTTTTTAGAGTGTAAAAACAAATGGACCCTTTTTCAACGAAAACGTTTCCCATTGTTTGTTTGCGATACAGAACTGTAGATCAAGATATGCACTATCTCTAGTAAACAAAGTCACACCTTCACCGACTTGGAACGTTCACCGAGAAACGTTTTTTTCGAAAAACTGATTCTTTTGCTATACAAAAGTCTTCTAATCAAAATAATAGACAAGTAATAATGTGTTACTAATTAAGTATTAGTCAACGAAAAAAAAAGTCTGATTGTCTGTTTGCTTGTGTCAGGATCAAAGGTCAAATGTCAAAAAAACATTTTTTTTGAAAAAGGCTCAAAACTTCATAAAACATGGTTTGGGAGAGGTTTAGAGAGTAGAGGTTAGTAGAGGATGCGTGACAGGGTCAAAAGGGCGCTGTAGAAGATGAGTTCAAAGTTGCACGAAACATTCAATGAAGATATGGCATAGGTCATTAAAGACGATAGTCTATCTGACGCAGAAAAGGTCAGATAAAATAACTTGGTCGCCTGTATGACTTTTTATATGTTTGCGCTTCACTGATCGCTACAAGAACTAGGTAAAGGTATACAAGTGATTTCCCTGTAACAGTCGATCGAGAAAATCGGTGATGATTGCTTATAAATCTGGATCTAATTTTTTTAATCATTTTGTCTGTGATTTCCTCTTCACTCAAGTAAATAGTTTTTCAAATATTTATATAAAATGTCGTCTAGGAATTTCCCACGACTGAAAGGAGGGTCATATGAAAAAAAATAGTTTGTATGTTTGTCTGTTTGTGTCAGGGTCGGGGTCAAAGGTCAAAAAAACATTTTTCTCGGAAATGTTCACAACTTCATGAAACATCGTTTGGGAGGGATCCTGAGGCTCTCGAAGTTGGCTGGATGACGGGTGAAGAAGCAGGGACGTGGCAGAAATGAAGAAAACATTTCATCTGCGCCTGAGAGGAGGGCTACATAGAAGAGTTGATTACGAAAAATTAAAAACACACTCGGTTGACTGTCGCATACTAAAGGCCAGTAATCCAAAAATACATTCATTCACAAGTTACATACTGAAGAGCAATCTTAAATGCTGAGCTTCGACATATTGAAAGTTATTGTAGGCCTTTAAGCCTTTTAATTAAGGAGATAGCCTCAAATGTTCGGACGAGGATAATTTTATCTATGAGGTGCTGATGGAATGCTAATTAGTTTTCGATACTTTTTAGTAGCACACGGGTAATTATATGATAGATAGGGACAGCTTTGGAGCGGCGAGTTGTGAGTGGTGCCCCTGTGGAGCGCCGACGAACAACGAGCTGCGCCTGGTAATCTAGCCAGTTACCAAAGTATCAACAGTCCGACACGTTCGAATGCGAAATATATACAGAGTCTCATTTGGTCTTACTGAAATTATCTTTCTTTTAGAAAAAGGAGGACATGTTTAAAAGTGCAAATCCATAATAGTCATTTATAGCGAACTTCTGCTTCCTGTGGAGAGTAATGGTCAGTCAGGAATATCGAATAATTAAAAGCAACACAAGTAGTCCTTTGACTCTTCTGAAGACTGTGAGGCGAATGAAGATCAGTCTCTGGGGACCCCTTCAAAGGTTATACTTCTGTCTTTTTTTTGCATAAAACGAACATAAGACTATTTTATTTTCAGTCAGTGGTTCAGTCGAGGGTATAGCGAGTCTGCCTCGACGAGCGTTACTAGTTTGTTTTAAAGCATATATGGATTCTATTAATTATTTTGAAGAAAAAAAAAGCCACTGAAAAGAACAAAAGCATGAATATAAATAAAAGATAGAATTGTTTATATAGTTTTTTCTGATTCTTAAGGATTAGCAAGTCCGTAAACATCTGCAGCAGATAATTCTCGAGAGTAGACACGAAATTCATCTAAATAACCAACATAAGGGTCTGAAGTAATTGACGTTTTATTGCAAGAAGTTCCACCAAGGAAATTACCCAATGTTAAAAAAACATTCTGTCCCGGAGCACCATAAGATCTTGAACCTGTTGTGCCATAATTAATTCCATTAATATAAAGAATTAATCCATTAGTTGGTGAATAAGTCATAGCAATATGTATCCAAATATTAATAGATAAAATAGGACCAACTATTTCTGTTCCAGTACCACCATACCAATTAATTACAATAATTTCTCCAGTAGATCGAAAACCCATAAGAGCAGCACACCATCCTGTTCCATTTGTTTGTGTTGAAAGATGAATAAGAATACCTCCACCTGTTGATGTTCGTGTAACCCATAGAGACATTGAATATGGATTATTAGGAATACCAAGAAGAACAAATCCAGAAACTTGATAAAAAGATAAACTTGAATTAAAACTTAAAGCTTGATTAACTTTCCCAGGTACTAAAGTAACATTACTATATGTTCTTGTTAATCCAAGTGGACCTGAATCTATCAATGATATATTATCAAATGAATGCCATGTTGTTAATGTCGCATCAGTAAGAATTTCACTATTAGTTTTTACTCTCATATTTAATTCAACATTATCAATATAACTAAATAAAAATTAAATATTTCTTTTTTTCATCAAAAATAAATAAATAACACAATCGAAGTCTTACCCATCAAAATATTGAAAGTTACCCTGGACAAGCATGAATGTTCCGATATATATTGAACCACTTGTACCTAAAAATGGTCCAGCTGAAGTACGAAGACAATCTTGATTACCATTTAAATAAACAAGTTGTGATCGTGATCGATAATCATACACAAAAGCTACATGATACCAAGTATTTATCGACAATGTAGTTGTACATGGAAGATCATCAGCATAAAATCCCATCAATAAAATATTATTTCTAATTATTAAGTGTAATGAATTATCTGTTGTTGATGAACCATATTGAGAAAATAATCCATAATCAATATTATTACTTAATGAAGTTGGATAAATCCACATTTCAACTGTAAAACTAACATTAGCAAAGTTTTTATATGTTGATATTGTTACATATTGATTATTATTACGAATCAATTTCAAAGCATAACCATTACCAGTAATACCAGATGCAATATAACTTGGCGAATTAATAGCGGTTCCATTAAGATTTGATAAACTATCGAAAGTGTTATTATCAAATTTCCATAAACTCGATGAACCATATGTGTAATATGTTGTTCCTAAATAATATTTCTTTTCATTTTTCGAAAATTCAAATGATGAAACTAACCTTGAGCTAATTCAGTAATATCATCCAATGATAACTCACGAGAAAAGATTTTGAATTCATCAATTTTTCCTTGAAATTGTGAAGGAACAATTTGTGTCATACTACTTGAACAATTATTTAATGTAATAGAATTACCGAGAATGATTGTATTCAATGAATTATTACTAGCTGAATAACTGTAATCACTATTATATCCATTAATAAATAATCCATTTAAAAATAATTGTAAACCATTTGTATTTGAATAAGTCAATATAATATTTGTCCATTGATTTAATAAAATTGTTCCAGATGTATATGTTATTGAATAGATTCCACTTAGACCTTTTGTTTGAATTGTTAAATGACCGAAAGAATCATAACCAATCATTGGAATACACCATGATGTTGAACTAACCTATAATTAAAATAAGTAAAGAAAAGAAATCGAAATAGATAATTTACTTGAAGAATAGTTCCATTATTATTGAATGGATAAATCCATAAGGAAAATGAATAAGAATAATTTGTTTGACCAAGATAATATAATCCATCGATTTGAAAATAAGATAAATTTGCTAAATTATTTAATAATAAACATTGATTAAATCGACCTTGTGAATCAAAACTAGTTGAAATAAATGTAATCTTTATCATTTGATTTGGTCCATTATCATTATATGTATTATCAAATGAAAAGTAAGCAACAAGTGTTGCTTCATCAAGAAGTTCACTTGTATTTTTTATACGTGCTGCGAATGTTAATTTATCAATAAAACCATTTTGAAGTGTAAACCCACTAAGAAGTGGTACTGCACCAATAGTTGTGTAATTTGCATTACCATGAAATGGAGAATTAGGAACTCGAATTCCATTAAGAATTCCATTTAAATAAACAGATTGTTTGAATAAAAGAGGATCATGAATGAAAGCAACATGATACCATTGATTAAATTTCAATACTGTACTTCCTGTTAAATCATCACTAAAATAACCAAGAAATATTGTGTTCTTTATAATCATGTGTAAACACATATCTGTAGAAGAAGCTGGACAATAACTAAATAATGGAAAATAAACATTTGATGAAAGTGTATTTGGTAACCATATCCATGCTGATACGGTCAATCTTACTGAACTTAGATTAAGATCTCGATTTATAATCATATAGCTATTTGCTGTAAAACGAATTGCACTTCCATAACCAGCATAACCTGGTGACATCCATGTAACATTTGTTGTATTAAATAATTGACCATTATAATTTCCATAAACATCATTTAAATTTCCATCAAATAACCACTGAATATTATTACCTGGATTTTTTAGAACTAAAATATAAGTAACGTTCGTATCATTGTAACTCACTTCACCCTCAAGATTGTGCAAGAAAGAAATACTTTTCTGTGTCAATGCTCATACGAACTAGACTAGTATCTTTGGAGAAGAAACGATACAAATTTTTCTTGAAGATCAAATTATTACTTTCCAAACAAGATGTGATTTCATGACTCTAGTGTATACCGAAAAAACGCCACATAAGGACCTATGGATACCTCCATACTATAGGACTTGAGGACCTAGGGATATCGTCATTATAAAGGACCTCAAGACCTGTTGATAATCGAAAGATGTGTGACTTGAGGACCTAGGGATATCGTCATTATAAAGGACCTCAAGACCTGTAGGTAATCGAAAGATGTGTGACTTGAGGATTTACGACTACCCAGGTCAACAAATCCGATGCTGGATCCGATCGGATCTCACCGGATCCGACGGGATCCGAGTCTAATAGGATTGTTCGATCTGGGTACTACCAAAATGTGCCATGATATTTTTTAAACTTTGACCTCATGCAGACGGAGGTAAAGAGGCAGAAACTATTTTTTCATATGATCCTCCCTACAATCGAAGGAAAAATAGGATTAAAATAAATTCTTCTGTGCTCATCTCTGATTTAAATTAATTATGAATTTATTAACTCACCGGCAGTTGTTGTAGTTGAAGTTGTTGTTGTTGTTGTTGTTGTTGTTGCTGTAGTTGAAGTGGTTCTAGTTGAAGTTGTTGTAGTTGAAGTTGTTGTAGTTGAAGTTGTTGAAGTTGTTGTTGTTGTTGTTGTTGTTGCTGTAGTTGTAGTTGAAGTTGTTGTTGTTGTTGTTGTTATTTGTGTCGATATTGATTCTATAATAATAATAAAAAAAAACGACAAGATATTTCAACTTATCTCGTATCTCTATACTCAAATATAATATTCAGTTGAATGAGTCTTCCTAAAAAGTGAGATATTTAATTATATCTATCTCTTCGAGTAGGAACTAACGGACTATTTCGATGTTAGGTTTGAAGATGCAATAAGATTGTACTTCAAAGTTTTCATGTCTATCCGCGAGAACACAGCTAATACTATATCACACTGAAAATCCACCTATTTTCATACAAATCCCACTCGAACTCTACCTTTATCTCCGTGTAATAGAATCAGACTAGTAAAAAAACAAAGTAATAGATAAATACTCTTCATCTGCCATCTTCTCTGAAATTTTCCCTAAATGTACGGAAGATATGTCTAGATAAGAATACTAAATGAAAGTCTCGGTTATTCTGCTGTATCAAACAACATCGAATAAGTTAGACTGATAAGTCTTTTATTTTTAAAATCTCTTAAATCATACTAACCTGATGGAAATCGCGTTCCATTTATAACACTCATACTAGTAGCATCTGTATGTATCAACATATTCCCATTCAGATCTATTATATCATTAAATAATTGACAAATCGTAATTGATCGATAAAAAGTTGCTGCTTTGCATTGACTTCGCATTAAACATGCTACTTCACAACCAAGAACATTTGATGTAACAATAATAACGAACGGTAAACATGTTGTATTAGCACATTGAAATTTAGAATTCATGTTAACAAACATTTTCATTGATCGCATATTTTCTTCTGTTGATTGTATGATAATCAAAAAGATGAACCAAAAAGAAATTTTTCTTGTAATCATTCTGAATTGAATTCAACTAATAAAAGAAAAAGAAAAATAGTCTTTTAAACAGTATATACTATTGTTTCTTTTTCTCTTTTTCAGCGGCCCATATCGTTTCTTTTTCTCTCAAATTCTTTTATAAATCCAATAATACATGTAAAAGAGAAGATATTTCTGTGTGCGTATGTTGTATATGAACAGATACTCTGTAAAAAAAGGCGTCATACTGAACCATTTTCAGAACCCTCTAGGGTTCAAGCCCAATCTGGTTTTATCCAAAACTTTTTTCTATTTTCCCAAAAAATGGTTCTAGTCTTTCAGAGAACAGTTCATTTTAGTTGCTCTACCTTCCACTATCTATTGGTTCCCTATTCAACTACTTATCCTTGTCTTTTGCGCGCCACCTCATTCCATGAGCTTATCAATAACTACCTATTTCTAATCCTAATCTTAACCTTATCCTTAACTGACTATACCTGAGCTTATTCTGCACTGCCTACCTCTGTTCTTAATTTTAACTTTATCCTAAGTAAAATTCACTTACGTCTATCTTTAAGTATCAGTGTGAAGCTAGCACGAACAAACGATGTGTTAGCTAAAAACGTTTTTACTAAGTATGTCCCGTCCATGAAAACTACATCATTCGACTCAGAATTTAATTCTGCATCAAATGGTGGCACTTTTATTCACCGGACAAACTTTGGAAAAATTATATCTGGATTATAAATAGACCTAAAGGAAGCGAACAAAGATATAGATAGAAAAATTTCCAAAATTTGACCGGTGAATAAAACTGCCACCATTCGATGCAGAATTAAATTCTGAGTCGAATGATGTAGTTTTCAT